ATTTTCCCCAAATGGGGGTGATGGTACTGACCTCTTTTATGAAGTGCTTTGAGATCTGCTTAGGAAAAGCGCTATAGGAGAGCCGGGTATTATTATTCTTCTGGTTTCCACTGAGCAGGGAACGAGGCAGCAGATACAGCAGTATGGAATAGCACAGCAGACCACTAGGTGACGCTAGGCCCTCAGCCATATGTAAACTGCTTGCCCAACTGCTCAAGGAAAATCCCGTTCAAGGCTGGTGGAGCAGGTAAACACACTTTAATAACACGTGGCAGAAGAGTAACTCACAGCATGGGCAATGGAGAACAGAGATCTGCCCAGGGAGCTGAACCCAGATAGATCTGCTCTGCAAAATGGACATGAAGGGTCAGGTTTGGCTCTCAGAGACACCCGGCTACATCCCAGTCACTGAAATCAGTGGAGCGGCTCCAGATTTGCAGCAGCGTGTCTGATCTGTACCAGGCCAGTGTACCTCCATTGGTAGCCCTGGATTTGCATTTGTGTAACTGAAGATCTGAACCGGGTCCAGCCACTTCCATTGGTGCCAAGCCCTGCCCGACACCCCTATTCTGTCCTAACAGGGCAGTGTCCTCTACCACCCTCGCCGAGCTCGGCCCGAGGAGCGTTTGCATGCCCTTAGCTGCATGATCAACACAAGAGCCCTCCCCAACACACTGACATCCAGACAAAATCATCATTAGCGGAGTGCGAACGGCTGGCATATCCCAGAAACTAATTAGCCACTATAAATAAAGCCATTATCACTGCCAGTCTGTAGGCAATAAGGGACTTTTTCTCCACTTTGATCATGCCCCGATGAGAGTCCTACCTGAGAATTAAATCCCAGAAGGGGGCAGGAGGCAGATACAGTTGTTACCGTTATTATTAAAGGGTGAAATTGTTATATTTGGCTCTACACCTGCTTAATTATATAGAACCTCTACTGAATTGCATGCTGCACAGCCGGCGAACCTGTCGCATCCCTTGCCGTGCGCACCCTCCTGTCTGGTTTTTCTACAGCACTCGTCAGCAGAGGAGCTGAGCTTTGAGATCCTCTGATGAAAGGTGCTAGGGAAGCTCAAATATCAATTCACACAATTAGTAATGGTTGGTTTCAGAGGAGCAGCCGTGTTAGTCTGTATCCGCAAAAAAAGAACAGGAGGACTTGTGGCACCTTAGAGACTAACCAATTTATTAGAGCATAAGCTTTCGTGAGCTACAGCTCACTTCATCGGAGTGCTAAGAATACGGCCTGTTAAGAATATAGATTGTGGGTCTCTTGCTCGCGCAAAGGCAGTTTGTTTCTCTCATATTATTTCCACCAGCAAGAATTGCTCTGTGACCAGGGCCGTGCTTAGGCATACGCAGCATACCGGGCTGCGTAGGGCACCAAAAAATTTGGGGCACCCCTGGGTCTTCATGTCCATCCTCTCCCCTTCTTCCTATCCCTCTTCTGACCCTTCCTGCAGGCTCCCATCACAGCTGGCTGGTGCAGCCTGGCGAGTCTTCCTCCGGAGGGGATCTAGTAACTTACAAGTGAAAAAGCCTCCAGCCTGCCAGCCATATTAGCACAACACTGACACTGGTAAAGAGCCATTCACTGGTAATGAAGCCACTTAACAGGCATTTGCCAACCCCCAGGTATAGACGGTCAGTTTCTGAACGTACTGACAAAAGCGGTTGTGCGTTACTGTAGTGCTTGGACATAGAGTTTTTGAAATAAATCCTTCAAAAGACCACCCCCATCTAAAATACACATTTTCATTTGAATTACGATAGTACAAAAAACTTGCTTCCAAAGTCTTCCTGTCCATCCCTTTCTCCCTTCACCCCGCTCTTGAAGACAGCCCTTAAAGGGACAACACCCGTTTCCTGCCAGATAGCTGGACAAACGAGTTTCCCTTTCTTTACTTCTGACTATTTGATGAACTAGTTTTAAGAGAACCCTCCAGCAAAATCAGTAATTAGCAAGATATAAAATCCTTTGTTATGCCTAAAATCTTTGGAAACATATTTTTAAAGGTTTCAGAGGAGCAGCCGTGTTAGTCTGTATTCGCAAAAAGAAAAGGAGGACTTGTGGCACCTTAGAGACTAACCAATTTCTTTGAGCATGAGCTTTCGTGAGCTACAGCTCACTTCATTGGATGCATTCAGTGGAAAATATAGTGGGGAAATTCAAAGTTGGTGAAATTTCATAAACATGTCTCTTGTTATGGAGATCACACAAAGCAAATGAGTGTTCCCTTTTTCAAAAAGCAGGGAACATTGTTATGAACACACTAAACCTCTGTGACTGATTCATTTTAAATAATGTCTTTGTTTCAGTGAGTTAGATATGTAGTCATCTGGAATGATTCCTTTCTGAAGGCTTAAGAGTACATTTAAAATAGAAAATCAGCTTAAAAATACTAATTAAGAAAACGTAAAACAGAGAAGATGTGCCTCGCGTATCCCATGACATTTCATGTTGGATTCAGCAGGGCAGCTGACTCGCCCTTACCACAGAGTTTTTGCAAATCTAACAAATTTCAGGGTATATCAAAATACCGGTGACCGACATTTTTTATTCCTAAATTTTGTGCTTTTAATTAGGTACCTTCTGCGTGTCCAGTCTTCACCTTCCGGCGCGCCATGGAAAACATGCTCCATTGTCTTTTGAAAAAAACACTCTCCTGCAATTTCTTTCTAATGTCCTTTGCTTCATTTGGGTTCAGGGATTTGCCTGGAAGGGGGCGAGCAGGGAGGGGGAGGGAAGAGAGGAGGGAGACAGTGGGGAGAGGGCGGGGCCTGGGCAAAGTGGGGGCGGGGCCTGGGGCAGAGCAGGGTGGAATATGGGCGGGGCCACAGGCAGAAGAGAAGGGCTGGGGTCCGAGCCTCCCCAGCCGGCAGCTTCACCCAGTGCCCGGGACAGCAGGTAAGAGCGGGTCGGCTCCCGCACACCCAGTGCACGCTGCAGCCTCCTTAGGCAGGGGCTGTATTCACAGAGCCGAATGCTCCAGCACCGTGCGCTCTGCGGGGAACTGAGACTGTGCGCCGGTCTGAGGCTCAGTACCCCTTGCTGCCTCGTCCTCCCCCCAGGCCGCGAGCCGGGCTGCTGTCAGGCACAGGGGCACCAGTTTGATAATACTGCGCAGGGCTCCATAAACCCGAAAGATGGCCCTGTCTGCGACTCTATGTAATGCTCTGGATGGACTTCTTAACCCAGACCGATCCATGGTTATCTCGGAGGTCCTGCCGTACTGGATGCCATTTTTATTTGTCATCATTTTATGGACAAGCTTAATAACATCAGAGCTGCTTGTGCAGCCAGGCAGTCCCCCGCCTGCTCTCTGGCCGGTCCCGAGCATTACGTACCCTCTGAGGACAGGAAAGAGCTGCATTCTGTCTCTGAGAGCCAATGGAGCCCTTACGGAGGCTGCAGGTGTGTCACCTGAGCCATGGTGGAGGGCGGCATTGAGGCTGCAGAGCAGAGCCCGCTCCCGTCCCGCCCCACAATACCCACTCCCAATCCCACCTGCTCCCGCACCGTTTCTTGATTTTTTATCCCACTCCTGCTATTATGCCAGCAGGTCCTGTGGGACCTGTGGAATCCCAGACCCTCTAAAATTGTCCCAGCAATGGCTGCATGTGCTGCAGTCAGCAGATGTCTCCCCACCGGCACCCACCCACTCCCTGCACCCCGTGCAATGGCATGGGGACCCCCCCCCCGACCCTCCCAACTCACCCATGCAGAGAGATCGGCATCCTCACGCACTGCGACAAGGGGAGGCCCAGCCCCTGCCTCTCCCCTTCCCCACACAAAGGGATTAGAAACCTCTAACCCTCCATGCAAATGGCCGGAGAGTCCCCGCATTGCCGTGCCGAGGGGACGGGGAGCCCCTACCCCTCGCCATCCCCAGGCACAGGCCGCGAAAGTCTCCCTCGCCACCCGTACTCCTGCCCGGCTGCGCGGCCTTCAGAGCTGGGCAGCCAGAGGGCGGTAGCGGCTGGCCGGGCCGTTCGTGTTGCTTGCGGCTCTTTTTTTAATCCCACTCCCCACCCCGCAATCCCACTCCCCAGTCCCGCGGCCGGGCTCTACGGCCGAGGACAGAGGCAGATAGAATCTCACCTGGGAGCGGCAGGGGGAGGTGGGTGTATTCGGCCAGTTTGGTGATAGCGGGCCAGATCCTCAGCGGGGGTAAGTCGGTGCAGCCCATTGACTTCAGCTGAGCAAAACCAGCCCTAGTGTGTACGACCCTGGTGCAAGTGGGTGCGTGGGTAGAGCCCTGCAAATCCGCGGGTCTCCGCTTTATAGCTGTGGACCATTTCTGCCGATAGCAACGCAGATGCGGACACAAATTTTATATCCGCGCTGGGCTCTGACGGTAAGAGCCAGGCGGGGAGCTGCGAGAAACCGCGGCAGGGATCCTCCACCTGCCCTGGGTAGAGGGGCTGGGGGGGGGCAGGGGCACTGGGCAGGGGGCTGCTTGGGCCCCATGTCCAGGGCAAGTGGAGGGTCTGCTGCAGCTGCCTACAGCGGCCTCCCTGGCTCTTACCGTGGCTGGGCTGCAGCTCCGAGCCGCCCTCCCGGCCCGAGCCGGGTCAGGGAGAGCCGTGCTGGCTGCTGTGGGGAGCCTGGGTTCCTCCACCTGTCCTGGGCGAAGGGGCCAGGGGACAGGGATACTGAATGGGGAGGCTGGGGGCGGGCAGGGACACTGATGGCCACACAGCTGCCAGCGCGGATCTCCCAGAATTGGCTCTAGCGGGGGTGGGGGGGCTTGGAGCCATAGCCCAGCCACGCTAAGAGCAGGGCAGGCAGCTATGGGGAGCCGCACCGGACCCTCCACCTGCCCTGGGGGGGGGCAAGCAGCCCCCAGGCAGCTCCACAGGTCTCCCCCCACCCCCACCAGCTCCGTTTCCATGGCTCTGTTCTGAACTAGCTCGTTCCTGAGATGAGAACCCTACCGTTCCTGCTGCCTTCTCCCCAGTGCTTGTTTCCACCCTTGCATTATTCTTCTTACCTCTTTCCTGTCTGTCTAAGACAAGTCCGGCTTACCCAGCTTGACCCGATCGACAGTCAACCTGTGGAACTCTTTGCCAGAGGATTAATAAGACTGGGACTTCTCAGCTTGGAAAAGAGACGACTAAGGGGGCAGACGACTGAAGTCTATAAAATCATGACTGGTGTGGAGAAAATAAATAAGGAAGTTATTTACTCCTTCTCATAACACAAGAACTAGGCAGCAGGTTTAAAACAAACAAAAGGAAGTATTTTTTCACACAACGCACAGTCAACCTGTGGAACTCCTTGCCAGAGGATGTTGTGAAGGCCAAGACTATAACGGGATTCAAAAGGGAGCTAGATAGATTCATGGAGGAAAGGTCCATCAATGGCTATTAGCCAGGATGGGCAGGGATGGTGTCCCTAGCCTCTGTTTGCCAGAAGCTGGGAATGGGTGACAGGGGATGGATCGCTTGATGATCACCTGTTCTGTTCATTCCCTCTGGAGCATCAGGCATCGGCCACTGTCGGAAGACAGGACACTGGGCTAGATGGACCTTTGCTCTGACCCAGTCTGGCCGTTCTTATGTTCTATGACCCTTGCAGTACAGTGACCAGTGTGGTGGGGGCACCCTGTTTGCTAAACTGTCCCCAAACTCCACCCAAGAACCCCACTCAGTCCGGACCCCTTGGTTCCCTTCCACAGCCCTTGGACAGGGCAGGAATAGACTCAGGAATAAATAGCACAGGATGTCAGAGCTGCCACTTCCCACTGACTTTTCCCTAATAAAGGCATTTAATGCTTTTGAGAGACTTCCAGCCCAGGGTTAATCCCCGACTCACAGTGGGGCTGAGCACTCACAGTCCCAGCTGCATTTCATGGGAGCTACAGGTGCTCAGCACCTTTGTGAAACCCAGATGCCCACCTATGACAGTTCCCATCCCGGCCAACCACAGAGATCGACCCAGGGACCTCCACGGTTGAGATCATGAATGGCTGAAGCTTGTGGTAACCAGCCAGGCTCTCAAGCTGAGAGCTGTAACAGACCCATATCCCAGGGATAGTCAATTTTTTTGTCAAGGTCCAAATTTCTTGCTCATGGTATAGTCATGGTCCAGACTCCAGAGAAAATTATTTTTAAAATAATAACAATAATAATGAGTAAATAAAAAGATTTTGAGGTTCAAAAACATCTGGTGGTCCCGATTTGGCTCACAGTCCGCCTATTGACTACCCTGCCCATATCCTCTGTGGATGAGGTGGGGGAGGGGAGTGGGGATGTGTCCTACGCCCGCACCAGGTAGTTACATGCACACATATCAAAAACAGGTACACGGGGAGCCGAAATGGCTTCCTTCACGGTCTCCCTCCCACATCAGGCGAGCCATATTTTGGTCCTGCATGCACATTATTTCGTGCCACTATCAGATATTTTGAAATTGCCTCAGGGTTTGGGGCTGCAATCCAGTCCCTGCTTGGCAGGTAGAGGGATGCTAACCAGCGCTTGCTGTGATAATCCTCCTGGATAGGTTGCATTGTGACTCCGTCTCTGGAATCGCTCCGGCATGTTTTAATCATTCCATTATGGAAGAGCCAGACCTTGGCAGCTGCTGGCATCTCATTTTCAGCCAGCTTCTCATTTGTGTTTTTCTGTCAAAGGTTCTTGAAAAGACTGAATAATCAATCAGCTGCCCTTTACCTTCCTCGTGGTTTAAATCCACATTTCAGTCTGCTTTTAAAATCCATCATATGGCAGCAGAGAAACTGGACGTGCACGAGTACAGCATTATTGATTGGCCACAGCAATTTCAGGTTCCCTTCCCTCCCCTAGTTCCTGTGGATTTCTGAAAGGAAGGCAATCAGTCTAATGGTTAGACCACACAGACCTGGGCAGCCAGAGCTCCTGGGTTCTCTTTCCAGCTCCTTTTGTGCTCCAGCTCCTTACCTAGTGTTCACTCACTCTGGGTGCAATGGGAGCTGCAGGGGGGCACAGCACCCCAGACAGATGCTTTTGAAAATATTGGCCTTGAATTCTCTGTGCCCCAGTGTCCTTCATATGTAAAATGGGGCTAGTGAAACTTCCCTACTCCCCTGCAGGATTAAATCATTTATATCTTCAAAGTGCTTTGACAACCTCACATAAAGGCAGAGCTGCATGAGCCTCTTCTTCTGGTTTCATCTCATATGGGATCTAACCCCCATTTTGTTTTGTTTTGAGTGAACTGAAAATCTTGCAGCCAGATGGCTAAAACCGCCCCATTTCACCTGGTTTGGGGCCAAAATCAAGCAAAGGCACAGAATTCCACCATGGTTTCCACCTGGATCAGCTCCTCCTTTAATCATGGCAGGGTTTGTTTCAGTCCTAGCCCGGTTCCCCCCGAGTTTCTAATGGAACCTGAGATCTGGTGAATTTCATCTTGGATTCAGGGCTCAGCACAGAAGTTTCATATTGCTTTGCTGCTAAGTGTATGGTTTTTCCAGGTGGCATTTGATGCTATTGATTAGCGCTGGCTGAATGACTCATTAGGAATATTCACCACTGAGTTCTCTCTTTTCTAGGCAGCAAATGGACCCCGATTTCTATGAATCTAGAGGTGAAGATTCACTGAATTATTTACACAAACAGATTTCATCCACTGCATCCTTCATGACCTGTTTGGTTCAGCTCCCAACGATCTGTGGGGCATGATTGGTCACTTGAGTCACATGGTGTCATTTCTCCTCCCTGGCCCCTTGACTTGCTGAATGGAATTTCAGCCTTGATAAAATCCAGGAGACTTTGGGGATCTGTGAACATTTTCATGGATGCCCAGCAGCTGTCCAAAATGACTAACAACAGCTCCCCATGAGCCACTTGGAACCAAACTGAGTGTTAATCTACTGAGCCAGTCTTTGTTAAAAATGTAACCAGCTCTGTCATGGCTCATGAGATTCAGCCACACTTCTACTGTCAGTGGTAGGTCAGACTGGCTGGCCGATTGCACCGTCCTGGCTTGAGGAGTTGTGTCTGATGGTGAGTGTTCCCCTGGGGTGCAGTTCTCAGACGATGGCCTCTGGACCGAGTGGCTGGTAGAAATTCAATGAAACCTTGCGAGAACCAGCTACCGCTTGGCAGAATGCACTGCACGGTCAGGACGCGCTTCAGAGATACAGTCTAAGACACATCAAGGTTCAGCCTGAGACACAGCCCGGCCAGCTGATTGCAATTCCCTTTCTGTGGGAGCCCCGGCCTCTGGGATTTATGGGTTGTAGTTTGTAGAGAAATTGGCAGCTCACAGTGCTCACAGATAATTGCGCTTTTGCAGCTGATGCGGCCCTTTTTAAAAGCCTGTTCCTGCAGCCGTTGGAGTCTGGGACAAAACTCTCATTAACTTCTGTGGGAGCAGGAAGCACGCTGAGGCCCCAAGCCCTTAAGCATGTGCATAACTTTAAGCACAGGAATAGTTCCCTGGTGAGTGAACCGACTGGCCCCAGGCATACAGAGGCAGGATTAGAAATCAGCAGTTCCCAGCTCCCGGCCCTTGGCTTGTGACAAGGTGACCAGACGTCCTGTTTTCAAAGGGACAGTCCCGCAATTAGGCTCCCCTGCAGGTGTCCTGACTTTTTCTTAAAAATGGGCAAATTGTCCCATATTTTCTGTCTCCCCCACATCAGTACTGGCAGGTCCTGCTACTGGCTGGATCCCTGCTCGCCAGCTGCCCGCCTACCAGCGGTGAGTGGTGGGGTCCAGTGGCCAACAATGGGGGTGGCGTGCCAGGCTGGTGGCAGGGCAAAGCTGCAGTGTGCAGGGCCGGCCGCTCTCCCTGCCGGTCCATCAGGGCTGTGTGCTGGCTCTTGGTCTCGTTTCCGACCGGCACTGGCTGCGTGCTGCGGTGGCTGGTGAGTGCAGGGAGGTGCCGGCCGGTTACTTGTCACCTCTGCTGCCACCCTTCAGCCCTTTACGTGCTCCCCCTCTGGCTGTCCTCTCCCTGCTTTGCCCTTCGCCCCCTCCCCAGCCCCGCTGCTGCTCCGTATCCCCCCGTTTAGTGTGCGGAGAGCCAGCCCCTAGCCGGCGCGCCCAGCTCACCAACAGCCTGGCTGGCAGGCTCCGTCCTTCCCCCACCGCCTCTGGCTGGGCGGGTGCCCCGGGAAGGCCCAAGACCCTCTGGCCCGGGACACTGGCCAGGAGGAGCCGAGCCCTCCCTGTGCCGAAGCCCCACCCAGCGCTGGCCCGGGGAAGCCTCTCGGCCCCTCAGCTAAGCTCTGGAGTGGCGGGGGAGGGGAGGATTTCTAGCCTGCTTGTGCCCCAACCCTGCAGGCTCCACAGCAGCCCCCCGGGCAGGGGCTTAGCACCCTCTTCACCTCCCCACCGACCAGTGCGGGGCTGCTCCATCCCCTGCTGAGCCACCGCTCTGGCCGGGTTCGCTGAAGCCCCTGCAGTCAGGTTCCCTGGACCGTGGTGCACAATGCATCCTTGGGGCCCAACCCCTTCCTGCCCGTGCTGTAGCCGGGGGGCAGGAGGCAGGTGGGTTCTGTCGGTGGCCAGCAGCAGCCTGGAGGTGTTAGCTGCCTTTCGGCACTGTGCGGGCAGGAAGGGACAAGCTGCTTCCAGCCCCAGGGGGTGGGCGGGGGAAGAGATGAGCTCTGCAAAGTTTCAGAGTAACAGCCGTGTTAGTCTGTATTCGCAAAAAGAAAAGGAGGACTCCTGGCACCTTAGAGACTAACCAATTTATTTGAGCATGAGCTTTCGTGAGCTACAGCTCACTTCATCGATGAAGTGAGCTGTAGCTCACAAAAGCTCATGCTCAAATAAATTGGTTAGTCTCTAAGGTGCCACGAGCTCTGCAAAGACACAGGCCAGGTCATCCCTTTCCCCCCACCTCCCCTGCAGCTGAAAGCAGCTCCTGCCCCTTCCCTCCCACACAGTGCAGAATGGCTGCTGCTGGACCCATTCTGGTGTGAACCCTGGCAGAAATCTGGGGAGGGGGGACATGTGACCCTGCGTGTCCCCCACCATGAGTTGCCTCGGGAAGATGTGGCAGCAGGTACCAGGAGAGGTGGGTCTGTCCCGGGGGCCCAGCCAGGCATGGAGGGTGGAGAGCGCCGGGCAGTGAGGGTCGTGTGAGAGAGGTGTACGGGAATATGTGTGTGTCACCTCTCCCGTGATAAAATTCTCCCAGAGCACACGTTCTG